CACGTTCTCGTCTACGGTTTTGGAATAGTCGTTTGATATACTAAACTTGAATGTCGTCACTTAACGGGGATATAATTAGGGAAGACTTATAACACGTATGAACTAAAAAAATTAAGACAATGAAATATTTTTATGGTCACAGGGAAAAATGTAAATGTTTATTTTTTATTTTTAAGAAACTATAAATATGGACAGAGATGTGTTTAAAATTTAAATAAACTTCTTTGTGTGTATTATTTAACGACTGTGAGTGCAGGAGAAAACTTTTTCGTGAGTGAATACACAACGAACGTGGCAAGTTACTGCGATATTTAAGAAGCGTACCCACTTGCACCTTAAGATTAAATTATTGTTTTTGAACAAATTAATGTTTTATAAAACTTAATGACATTGTGTGTTCAACCTTAAAGCATTTATAATTTTTGTTTTTTATTACATTTTCAAGTCTTCACCATGTTATGGACAAAATCACGAATTGATCGTCACACAAAATTAAAGCAAAATACAATAATATAGACTATATACTTATTATAGATATTATTAGCAATCAGAATTATGGTATATTAAAATCCTAAACAATCCGATAATGTTATGACATAAAAGAAAATACATTTTTTTAATATATCATATTTCAGAGATTTTATGTTTAATGCCCTTAAGAGATAAAAAATATTCGGCAACAATTCTCTAAAAAAATAAATAATAATATTAGTCATTTGGTAAAGCAGACATACCAGCGGTATACTTATAACAAGCTATATCGGTAATAATGTTCTTGTAACTATTGCAACTTGTATAGTCATATGAACTTAACTAAATATACATTTAAATTAAAAAAAATGTATACTCCTTTATAAATACATTAGTATTGAACATTTTGGACGGATTGTTTTAAATTTCCTGAATTTTTTAAAATAAAGTGAACTTAAAATTATAGTTTGGGTTTGATGGGAGTGTTTTTATACTTCTTATTTTGAATTCCTCACAATTAAATACATTTTTTAGTCATAATTAGTGAACTTTTATTTAAAAGTTTTTGTTTTAAACTAAAATTTAATTTTTAGTAATTTGTAGATTTACATATAGATATAAATATACAGTTTAAAATACTCCAAAACAGTGTTTTCCTACATCTGTAGTATTCCCATTTCTCAAATTGATTCTAAAAAATATAATAATCACACAGGTGTAAATAAATTTGGTGAAAAGATTGATTTTACAAGTAATATGAAATGTATAATATTAACACAACATATTATATAAATATGTTTATATTGGAAATGATTTCAACTAATTTCAGATAAATTGTATATGATGGCTATGTGGCAATCGATATTTACCTTATCGTACGACACAGATACTGGGGCAATACGTTGTAAATTATTACTTTTTTTTTAGAAATCATTTCGTTTGTTATTTCATTATCAGATTATATATTATAATATCGTCGTGAACTTTTGTTGGTCGTACAGGCTTGCGCTTGGATAAAGAAAAAACTATTTGACGGACAAAACGGGTAGGCATAAATCACGAGCTCAGCAATCCGAACGATACGTTTGAACTACCCGAACGAGGGTGTAAGAATCATCATTAATATACACATATATTCCGGTACGGCAATAAACCCGAACGTGGGAGTCACAGAGGTCTGGGCAAGTTGACTGGAGCTTTTAATGAAATATTCAAGTCACTATTACTTATGTATTCGCTTTGCGAAATCCTTTGCGCCAAATGAATCATTGTAATAAACGTTTTCATTGAACGCGGTAAGTTTCGGTTTCATTATATTATGTGTATTTACGTCATGAGAAGTCTTACGAGTTCTGTAAAATCGCCCGCCTCGGGGGACGTCATATAGGGACTCGTCTGCCTCGGTATATTATTAGGTTATTCGACATTGCTGATGGTGAGCCGCCCCCCCCCCGCCATAGTCAGACGGTATACAACGTCGTTAGCAACCATCATATATCATAAATCTGCACATTCCCGATTTTGCATGCTTGGTCGGATAATATAATAACATGTTATAACGTACACATATACACGCTGCACACGCGTGCTATTATTATTATTATTTTTTTTTTTGGCCGATCAAATGGGGGTAGTTTATCTTAAATATAATGTAGGTATATGGGCCCCAGCGAAATCCCGAGGGTCCGTTTTTGAAGAAGAAAAAAGTAATGATAATGACGTGAGCGTTATGTGGGTACAATTCTATATTGGCTCAGACGGATTTTGGTATGCAAGTCACATGTAGTGAACTTTTGTATCCCACGTTTGTACCAGGTTTGGCGGTGAGGTTACGGGAATCAAACATAAATCTCATTTCACATAATATATAAATTATATACGTATTTCCCTTACGACAATTTTCAAGAGGTATTATTAAAATTTAAAAGCGTTACACAATGTCATTAAGCCAAATAACGTGATATTATCGATATGATAGCAGATAATTGATTATAAATTAATGACTGATAAAATCAAGGTTTTTGTTTCTGTTTAAACATTTTGTCTGGTAAATGTTTCCATTTTCATTCTTTGGTCTAAACAGAAAGTTGCTGTTTTTTCGCTGTTTCTTATTTGTCGCTAAATTTACTCTTTGTCTTGTTGTTTTGTCGGCTTAGTGTAAACCTAGCAGTTGATTTTTTTTCATCAACTATGACTTAAAAATAATGCAAAAGCTGCAATTTTTTAAAAAACTATTTGTTGATGGTGCCTATCAAATCAAGCCTGCATAAAACAATGGACCAACAATAAATGATAAATATTGAATTATATTGTTTTTAATATTATTTTTCCAGTATTAAAATAATGTTTTCTTTTGAAATTTTTTTATTTATATTTATGTAAAACTTTACTATTATTTGAGAATAAATATTTTTAATTTTTTTTGACTTTAGAAAATACTTATTGTGTTAGAAATTTAGAATATTGAAAAGTAATTTGCTTTTTATAGATTCTAACCTGTGGTATAAGGTATAACCTTATAATTTAAGAGTTTATATTTGAAATATTATTACTATTACAATAAAAGTGGTCGGAATTTTGCTATTACAATATAAAATCTCTCTGACATGACCCTAGACTATTACCTCGAGAGAAAAAAATACAAACTTATTTAAATTATTTAATAGTTAAAGTTAGATTTATTTTTTAAAGAAACTTATAAATTAATAACACAGGGAATTGAAATAATACACCGAAGTTGAAGTATGAGTTAGTATACGTAATTAAATATGTACAAGTGCGTTCAGTAGGGAAATAATATACCTACGTAATTAATAGTTTGTATGTATACTGTTAATAGTTTATCAGTAAATAAAATTATTTCAATATAATTAACTATATTATGAATAATTTTGGCCTGATGTGATGTATAGCTGCATAAAGGTCACAAAAATAACGTGTGCAGCAGTCATATAATATTAAACTACAGCCATTTATTAAATCCTAAAGGTTTTGTATAACTTATTACCAATTCGATGACTTTTGAATTGGACTTTATACCAATCAAATAATTTTATAAAGGTACCGTGCTTATGATGTGGGTTACAAATACCGAAATATGTTTTACTTAAATAAACCCATAAATTGCTTGGAATACTACATTGAATTAAGTAATACAATTATAATAGAAAACAATAAATTCATAATTATGTATTTACATACTATAATAATTACATACTTACTTCGTTTAAATAATTGTGTATATAATACAAACTCAAATGTGTTACTGATTACTGTTTGCTATTTACTTTTTATGTAGATACTTGTAAATGGTATTAAGACTAATAAAAAAAAATACTCTATAAACGAATTTTTGTTTTTCGTATTCAATTTTTGATTCAACGCTCCTTTATAAGAAAATATCCTTCTACTTAAAACCAACGGGTGGGTATTAGCCACGCGATTGCCGATTATGCTGTCATGTGGTTTAAATTAATATTTTAAAACATATGCTTATTATTTATTTAATTATTATAAATTCACGGAACAAGCCTTTTGCATACATTTTTTTTTGTTATTTCGAGTTTTTTCACATTTTTGTCCTAGGAACCCACAAAAACAAACTGTGATTCACCTATAATGATCATTTCCATTTAATTTTTGGACTTATAAATTATAATTACTTAAATTCCAACTTTTAGAGTTATAAAATGTATTTAGAGACAATATTTTTTAACAATTACACTTGTTATGCTATACATGAATTTCAAATGAAAATCGAAATTACTGTAAATTGTTTAGGGAATTATGTAATTCCAAATTATTTTGATGGACCTACCTAAATCACCGTTATTAAATAATTATGAACAAATAATAGTTCTTTAGGTTTGAAAGATATGAGCTATGCTTGTACATACAATGCAAAATAAAAATATTATATTTTGGTCTAGCACTTATTATATTCAGAAAATATTTTGTTAATTATAAAACCATAAATTTGTATTATCATAATATAGTCTATATATTTTCAAAACCAACGCTCCCTGGTGAGTGCAGTTTAATAACATAGAAACTGCTCTTCTGAATTTCAATTTAGATAAATCAACATTTTCAAAATAATCATTTGATGCTGAATAATTCAAAATAAAGAGGATGTTTCTAATTAAAAAAAAAGAAAACATAAGACACTCATAAAATAATTTAATGCGATCACTAAAAATTATATAAGTCAATTATAGTGAGCTAATAGTCTCCCAAACATCATTTAGTTGCCCATGATTGGTCCATTAAGTTTTAGAGAACCGTTAAATTAATTAATTTTTTATGCAACTTGACGCTTCAACAGTTTAAAATACAGTCCTTACTTAAAAATTCGAAAAATCAGAACTAGAATAAATGCACGATTAAAGGGTTGGTGGGGAGAGCACTTTGGGAGAGTCATCCTACGTATACTTATTATTACGATAGTATGGCACGTAGGTAGGTATACATTTTAGGCGTAAAATAATAGATAATAAATCGTATCGAAGACGAAACAAGTTAAAACTTACCGGATATAATGACGTAGGTGGCGGCGGTGGCTGCGTATAGGCGTATTTTACCACAGTGACATAAAATAATAATTATATAATTATTTATAGGTCGTGTGTCTTCGACTGTGTCGCCAACCGACCGACTAAATCGCGCCGACCAGTCGCGTTCGGCCGACGATGCGATATTATTGTTAATTTATTATTATATTAACGCCGCTCGGCCAGAAAAGAAACCCCGGCTGAACGCCAGTTGCACCCCCACCGTGGTTCACCCTCTCAACCGGCCATCACCCATGTCACCGACGCCCGTGACCACCCTCTCTCCCCCGAGGAGTTCGTTAATGCTGCCCAAGGACGACCCTCCTGCCAAACGTGTTGGATATCGTCGACAAACCCTATTAAGACGCTTCCCACAAACGCGTGTTAATCGGCCGTCGAATTGTTAGACATAGGTACCAATAAACATTAAGTATCCTATGATTCATTAGTTGGTTAATTCTAAAACAATGAGCTTGCACGATGATTTTAATTGACACTGACGTAATACGCTTGTATTCGCAGTCGATCTATTTTTTGTAAAAATTATTTTAATAATCAATTTAATTAATTATCCTATTTATTGAAAATATGTTGCGTTCCATATACATGCGATTGTATTGTTTATGATGTATTTTAATAATATTATGTTCTATGTATAATATGATATATAATTTCGCCTTATATGCAGTAGAAGTTGATTAAGAAAATTACTTTCCCATCTATGCTATTTATTATTTATGACAGTGGAACTATAGGGGAATAAGAAGCAGAGCAACGTGAGAATAATTGTCTTATTCCACTCGTTTTACTAATTTTTTAATGTGTATGCCCTTTATAACTTATAACAAATAGTAACTAGTATGTAATAACCTGTTATCAGTATTCTAAAATTACGTACAAAATATAGAAATAATGGTGTGAGCATTTAAAAAAAGGTAGAAGATCCACAACGATAACAAAGTATTATGAAATTATAGTTTTTATTTGTAAAAAATAATTCTGATATGATAATAATTACATACTTATGTATTAAATGGATATTACAAAGTTAAAATTGTATAAAAAGAAAAATAGAAATAACTGATAGTTTCTTGCATCAAAATAATTCTAAATGACCAAAGCAACATATTTTCACTCATATATGTATCCGGCGAGATTCGAGAAATACATTTTTGAGAATATTTAAAAAATGATTTTTCATTTTATGTATTGTAACGTTATAATATTATTATCAACATTTTCATATTTCGATTATTTTCTTACAAATAATATTACCCATAATAACCTTAACGGAAACAATTTTTTTTTGTTTTTTGCGTTGGGGAAGTTTCCCGACATTTTTATGCCTTATAAATGTATAAACTTCTAGGAATATTATTTAGAATGCGTATAGAAAGCAGGAGTCCTTTATTATTTCCAACGGTTTTAAATTTGGTACTTTTTACGGAGAGTCTCTCTCAATCTGTTTCTATATCTACCCCCTCCATCTTATAGTCTTACTCCTAAATATATATACATAATATACCCCTCTCTTTTAAAATCATTGTTTTTCGTAACTGCGTTAGTTTGTGTCAGCTCGGAATAACACGTAAAAATATTAAAATATACTAAAAAATATATTTTCGACTTTGCGCATTTGACATACTTTACTTATTTGTTTATTGGATACCGAAATTGATAAATATATATGTATAACTAAATACATTATATAATACACATAGTATGTGTTTGAAATTTTTGAATTTATTTATGTTGGTTCAAACGAAGAAAGAACTAATATTTACGTTCGGAGGATAAAATCAATATGCGCAGGACTTTAACACTACGGGGTGTAACGTGTTATTTGGATAATCAAAATGTTTGGCACTCTTTAGTATCTATATTAAACTACTCACGTTTTATTACTCAAATCGCATGTTTTTAAATTACCTTGTGTCTACGAACAATGATATTTATTATCGAACAGATGTAATTGCGAATTTAAAAGTTTAATCATCCATTCTATCATGTTGAGGCGTAACAAATAATCATCGAATGGGTACCTACGATTATTACGGCACGTTTCTAAAAACGGTCAGACGAATAAAATCGCTGACGAAATAGCGGAAGTGGTGGTGGCGCCAGAATTATTGTTGTTGTAGTAACAGTAGGTAGTAGTAGTACGACTCGCGACGCCGATGTCGCACGAGGGTATATTATATTTATTATATTGTCTGAATTAAAGGAATATATGCTGAAAACAATACGCCAATGAATTATTGTATATAATATTTGTATACCCTATAAAATCTGTAACTGTAGTTAAAAAAAAAAAACAACACAATAATGTAAAATAAATACATGAATTACTGCATTTGCATTACTGAATCGTTTTATGTTTCAACAATGAAAACATGATGACTTTTAGTTTTACACGGCGTGTCAATTGATATCAAAGCTGGGCTGCATCGTCAAGTTAAAAAGTTGAAGATAAGTTACGTTTAACTAAGTTAGGTACACAACGAGTTCATTTTTTGTTTAAAGCAAATTCTTAATGAACAAATTACATTCATTCTTTCTACGATATTCCGTGCAGTTACTAATCAGTCAGTTAATTTTATTGTTTTGTTTGTTTCATTTTTTCCCCTAATAAAAACTCCGTAGATTTAATTTATATATTTATTTGTACAAACTATTGATAAATAAAATAGTAAAATAATAATCTGAAATACCGTATATAATACTAATTCATGTATTGTAAACACTAAATTGACCTTAAAAGTATTTTGAATGCACTATCTGTGCATTTTAACAGGCCAAATAGAGATCAAAATATCTAAGTAAATACAATTTTATGCACATTTGTATAGACAGTTACAATCTCAATTTTTCAACTACCAGATGATCTAGTTAGACGTTTAAAGACTTCTCTTAAAAAAATAGCTAACCTTAATTAAGTAATAAGTAATAACTTATAATGCCCGTCAGTCGTATGTCTTAATTAATAATTTAAAGTATATACATATATACCTATATACCTTATAAAAACTATATATTTTTGTTTTTGTGTATAATATACTTTTATAAAATTTCCTTATTTTGCTTTGGAATGGATGGTTGAAACAACATTTTTTATCGATTTAGTTAGGGCTAAGTTAAATTACTCTTTTTTTATTGTATAATTAACTAAACGAGTTAAAAAGAATAGTTAATTTGAGCAAGTTGATTATTATTACTCCGCATACTTCATATTATACGTACAGATTTATAAACTTAATAATTGATAAGATAATATTATGAGAGTGGTCCTCGGTAATAAGGTGATCGTCGGTTAAATTCGCAGTTATTATAACGCATTATATTAATTTGTTTCATGAGATTAAAAAAATAATAATATCCAAGAGAGCCTGCCATTGCAACATTTTACCAAAATCCTAATAAAAAAAAAAAACCCGTACCTATTGAAACGGAATGGTAGTTAGGTAGATAGTTCCTACGTTAAAAAACAAAACACATCCACGAGTATAAAATTACGAGGTATGAGTATAAAAATCAAGATGATAACTATTAATGGTGTTGATATTCAACATAAATTCACATTTCATTGTAATAGACTGCACATATATATTCACGAATTTTTGTTTTATCTACAGAAATTCTAATAAAAATATAAAGTCATTTTTAGGTGACTCGGAGGAAGATTCTAAATGGTTAGTAACAGGTGTATTGAAAATATCAGATTTTAAAAATAAAGAGTATTATATTTATGCACTTTTTATAGTATATCAGCACAATATTAACATCAATGTATGCATAAATAACAACAGTTGTTATTCATGTTAGTTGTTGTTCAAGTTACTTACTTACTAACTTTCCCCGGAGTATCTACTGATGCAATACAGGCCGTGGTGAGAAGGATCAATAGACACGAGGTTATAACAACTTGCGTTAACCCCTCCTCCCATCTGAATTTCGCAATTTTGTTCGCTCCAATAATTATTTGTGTTCAATTCATATGAATTCCTGATCAGATTTCTTTAATTTATCATTTAACTGTCTTCCAGGTGTGGTTTTGTTAACGTTACTCCTTATCCCTAAATTCTAGAGCCCACCTTATAAGTTGAACTTATTGCAATGTTTTGGGCACCAATTATTTAGTGTTCAATTGTCGTCGATTCCTGACCAGTTTTTTTTTTATTTCCTCCTCTACTTGTTTTCCCGGAAAGTCGAACTTTCTCCGGGTGGAGCAAAAGAATTTAAAAAAAGGTGGCCAGGAATTCACAGGAATTCAGCCCTAATTATTGGGACAAAATAAATTGCAAAATTCAGATTTGGTGGATATGTGTATCAACTGTGATTTTTCTAATTTCTCTACCACCATCAGCCTTGGGTATTGGTGTACATAAGTTGATCTGATGTTTTGGTTTTCACTCGCTTCGCGCTTATCGATCGTGATATAAGTACCGCGGTCACGACGTCAGCTCACCCATATTATATAACATGCTATCTTATTTTTTTTCCTCAAAAAAACTGCCTTCTTTGCGTGACGAATTTTCCGGAGTTATCGCATGATGGCGGCTATCCACATTTATTTTCGTCACGTACGTGCGTAGAATTAAAAAAAAAAAGAAAAAAAACGAGTTTTGTAACTCGCTCCGATCATATTGTACGACTTCATATTATTATATATATATATCGCACCGCGTTCGGTATAAATTGATCCGCCCCGGCCGCGCGCTACAAAGTCAATTTGTCAACAACCGGATGGCGGGTGAAAATAATTTGACAACGTCCCCACGTAGGTATGAACGAATACGCTCGTGTACGGTTAACTGCTGCAGGTACAAACACACACACACACACACACACACACACACACATACACACACACACCCCACGAATTCATTGCTCCAGGTGACAGTGTACCATTCAATATATATTGTATAATGTAGAAACGATTCTGCGACGGAGCACGTGCCTCGGCGAATCGCCTGACCTTTTTGTGCCCATCTATATGATCAGCGTTTGGCAAAAAAAAATTCACTTTCCTTTTCGTACTACATATTATTTTGATTACCCGATCAAGCAAACGTGGTGGAGTCCACG